ATGCGTGCATGCAAGCATCCGCGGGGCGAACAAAGACACACACACACACCTATACCGCACAACTCCCCCCCCCCCCCCCCCCCAATCTTGCAGCACATTTCGCAGACGATGGATTACCTTCAGCATGATGAATAGACAAAAATTAATCTAAGCCATGAACAAAGCAAATGAAGTCGACATAATACCATGATGGACTAATACAATAAAATATGTTAAGTAGAATTCAGAAACGTTTTTCTTCGATGGTCATCATACAATCACCATTGCACCCTTGGTGTTACTGTAGTGACGATGCAACCTTTCAATGAACACATAGTTTCAATGAACACATAGTTTCAATGAACACATAGTTTCAATGAACACATAGTTTCAATGAACACATAGTTTCAATGAACACATAGTTTGCATATATTCTGGTCTCGGATACTGAGCCAATAATAAATGTAAAAAAGAGAAGAAAACACAGGAGAACGAGTTATGCAGCAACTATCCACGACTGTAACAAGATGATAAAGAGTCAGAACATGCCCTATTATCGCACGTTCTGACTCTTTATCATCTTGTTACAGTCGTGGATAGTTGCTGCATAACTCGTTCTCCTGTGTTTTCTTCTCTTTTTTTTTGATATTCTGGTTTGTAAACCGATATACATGTACATTATTCGATGTACTTCAAGTAGGTTCAATGATGACCATCGGAGACCATCTGAATTCTACTTCACATATTTTATTTTTAATATTAGTATATCATGGTATTACGGATACGAGTTAAGAGTAACTCTCCATCACTGTAACATGATACTTTATACAGTCAGAAAGTGCAATAACTAGGCACAAAACTGACAGAGTACTGAGACATTCGACGTCCTGACACCTAGCTTCAACACATCTCCGTAGCGCTAACCGACAGCCTTCCAACTTGGAAGGTTCAAGGTTATGGAAAGACCAAAGAGGGGAAGGCAAGCGCAACGAAAACGAGCAAAAGCTACAGTCCACCGGAACAAAGAATGTCGATTGTTACTGGACGATGACGAGACCAGTACGATATTTGACAAAGCGGTCTAGCTACAATTCGAAGCAGCAAAGCAGCACACCACCCAACTTGGGTGGGTCATAAATATCAAAGATAAGTAAAGAAATGGGAAGCGCTTGCGCTTGCCTTCTTTTCTGACTGTGTAAAGTATCATGTTACAGTGATGGAGAGTTACTCTTAACTCGTATCCATAATGTCTTTTTCCTTTCTACATTTATTTATGGCTCAACATCCGAGTTTCATATCATGGTATTGTGTCGACTTCAATTGTTTTATTCACTGCTTTGTTGAAAGTTCTTTCTCCGAAACGGCTCGTAAAAATTAACCTGTCCGGAGATTTCACTGTTTTGCAGCTTTAGTATTTAGTCACACTCCTCCTGAACAAGAAAAACAAAGAGAGTAAGGGTACTCAGGGAAATTCCTGCTGTAAAGCCTCATTTCCCTTCGGAAATAGGAGATTGCAGTCAAAAACACCAAGTTGTGCACAAGGGTGGGTCAAACCCGTGAGCGACGAAAGCGAAATGGCCCATTTTTCACTTGCCTATAGTGGATTGGTGACAGTATCCTTTGCATGTCAGTGGAATAGTTACGATTCGCATACTGTCTGTCTCGACCCCTAGAGGCATCGGGCAGCAGTGCTGCCAACCAACTGGGTCTGTTTTGCGTGCTGTGACTTCTGATTATCCGCAAGCAGTGTGCATTGCTTGCGTTGTGTTTTTTTGACATTCACATGCTTGTTGGGGGCTGTATTTGCTAGTGGAAACCATGTGGGACTTGTACCACATAATATTTTGTGCTATATGTAGTCGAAGCATGGCATACACTCGCTTTGGCACAGGGATATTCATCACTGAGCTCGCGTTTGCCATGCTTCTACATACATATCTGTAGTTGATCTATCCGCTTCAATTTTCCGTACAGTCAGACCTCGCTTAACCGCACACATCTGTTTTCCACAAAATATCCGGATAGGCGAGGGAACCGGACAACTGAACACACATACTGTATATGCATGTAAATGCATGTGGCATGTCAAAAGCAGTGACATCGTACATACATGTAGACGGGTCCTATGCAGTACAACTAGCGTGCACAGTATGTAAAACAAGCGAGAAAAATGACAAGTGCATGCAACTGAGTGATGTCCACATGCACCCAGCAGGTCAAGGACCTCATTTGCCTGTACAACTCCCTGATTCTAGCTTCTGCAAGCCACATATACATGCAACCGGATACGACGAAGTTTTTTGTACACATTTTAACCAGTTTGTACACAAAATCATGCACCGGTATGCGGATCGCGAGGTCCGGTTATGTTGTATGCATAACATATGCTGCACATCGGTAACCAGCGATTTTCTTCCGGATGGCGAGGGATCCGGATAAACGAGGACCGGATAAGCGAGGTCTGACTGTACCATCTTAAGCGGGATTCACAGAAGCTTTTTTGCGATGAGACACGCGATGCGACGCGATCTGCGACGGACGCGTGCGATGCGAACTCGCGAAATACCATTCACAGAAGAAGTCAGTGACGCGACAACATCTTGCTGATTTGGCTACGTCACCATGATATTCGCGCGGTTTGATACAACTTGTACAAATTTATAGGCAACTCTTGAACCTTTGTACAACTTTGCTGTAGAAAAGGTCAAAATCGTACGCCAAATCGCATCGCAAAAGTTGAGCCAAGCTCAACTTCTGCGATGGCCTGCGATGGCCCTGTTGCGGCAGTTGCGTGGGGTCCGCGATGGTTGCGATTTGGGGATTTCCCGGTTTCGCGGCTGTCGCATCGCGTGTCGCATCGCAAAAAAGCTTCTGTGAATCCCGCTTTAGGGGCCATCCGTAATTACTAATTAATTATCGATCTTTTTCACGAAGAAAAAAGTTTCGTTCATGGGTGGGTGGGTTGAGGAGAGTTTCGTTATGAAAAATATTGATAGCTGAAACATCAGTCCATTCCTAGCTGTCAAGTCAATACAGTCAGTCCTCGTTTATCCGGATCCCTCGCCATCCGCACGAAAATTGCTGGTTACCGATGTGCAGCATATGTTATGCATACAACATAACCGGACCTCGCGATCCGCATACCGGTGCATGATTTTGTGTACAAACTGGTAAAAATGTGCACAAAAAGCTTCGTTGTATCCGGTTGCATGTGGCTTGCAGAAGCTAGTATCAGGGAGTTGTACAAGCAAATGAGGTCCTTGACCTGCTGGATGCATGCGGATAGCACTCAGTTGCATGCACTTGCCATTTTTCTCGCTTGTTTTACATACTGGGCACGCTAGTCGTACTGCATAGGACCTGTCTACAAGTATGTACGATGCCACTGCTTTTGACATGCCACATGCATATAAAGTATGTGTGTTCAGTTATCCGGTTCCCTCGCCTATCCGGATATTTTTGTGGAAAACAGATGTGTGCGGTTAAGCGAGGTCTGACTGTATACTTTTCGTTCATGGGGGTGGGTGGGTGGGTGGGGGAGGGTCATAACTTAACTTTTTTGTTTCGTGAAAATTATCGATCATTCCGGATGGCCCCTTACTCAAACTCCGTACTGCGGACAAAGGAGTGATTTTCCGTACAAACACGGAAAAATACAGAAGGTTGGCAGCACTGGGCAGCCCTCGGCAACCCTAAAACTTATGGTTGACGTTTGGAGCCTCAGTGTGTTTGCCTTCTGGCTCTCAAAGAAAGGAAATGACGCTTTGATGGATCATTTCCTATCTTCCCCTCACTAACACCCGCATAAACAAAAGTCCCCCCCCCCCCCCTCTCTCTCTCTCTCTCTCTCTCTCTCTCTCTCTCTCTCTCTCTCTCTCTCTCTCTCCACCCACCCCCACCCCCCCCCCCCTCCCCCTCTTCCTCTTCAGGCTGAGGTCCAGTAAGTACTGGGGTTTATGACGCGTACCTCTGGATTCGCATGATTGCATTTGTAGCTGGCTTTTCCTTGTCCCAGTCCGGACAATACAAGGGATCCCCATGAAATTTTGGTGCAGCAGCGGAAGCCTCTGACGCTGCTTCAAATTGATATAGCGATAGAGCAGTGTGAGCGGCCGAAAAATGTGCACTGCCTCCACCCTCTTCCTCTTCTTCATTCTCGTCACTCTCGTCCGAGTACATCGCGTTATTCTCTCCTACATCTTCACCATCGTCATCTTCCATAGCGGCCGCATTGCCCACAGCAAATCCATCATCTAAACCGACAGCAACAGGTCCTGGCACTGGTGCAGGTGCATTCATGGCTGCAGGAAGTGCTGCTGCTTCGTCATGTTTCAATGCTGGAACATCATCCTCCATGTTGCACCAGAGTTGTTTGAATCTCACTGAGATGGTGGTGTTATCACTTTGATAGAGCAGAGATCAAGATGTGAACGAGATCAGGCCAGTATTTCAATTGTACTTAAATTTAATTGGGATCCGGCAACGTTACACCACTGCTGTTACCAGGTTACCATCCGTCTGGGCATTGTGAACACAGAAATGCAGCAAAAAGAACAATAATTGCTTATTGAAACAGCTGCACATACATGTACATGTATGAGGTGGGCCAAAAAAACACCGCGTCTAAAATATACATACGTACTGAGAAACGAATACTAGTACCATGGAATTATCCCACAGCAAGCTAGTCGAAGCCTCTACTCTTACCGAGCACCCTTCCGCCTGGACAACTGCCGTGCACTAGCATGTGTCAGCAAAAACAGGGTCTACAAAAACTATTACTTGTTTTCTCCGTGCCAGGCCTAAATTTGTATGGCAGATCAGTACTGAACAAACAACCTGAGAAATGAAGAAGCTCTGCCTCGGCTAGTTGATACTGTGCATTACATACTATAAGTATAACTGAAGAAGCAAAGGCAGGACTGCTTAGCAGAAAGAACAATTCGTATGTGATTGTGATACAAACATCAAGAGTTCGTAAATGTTTGACACTTCGAGCTCCAGGTACCTGCGTAGTGCTTGCTGCATGAGTGTGTGTTTTCAAAAGAAAGTTCACGAACAAGCAGATGTCTTTCGTTATCAAAATTAATCGATCCCAAATCAATGTGTATCGCGTGGCCGCGGTCGTTTAGGCGTCACATAATATGTGGACCTACTCAAGAGTACATAACCTGGGTTATGTACTCTTGCTTATGCGAAGTTAGTTATGGTGAGAACCAGTCAGCTGATCATGATCGATGCATGTCTGTTTTACTGACACAGTGACAGTCTCATCTTCCATATTCCGTTATCATGGTTATGATCATACTTCATAGTAATCATAGGCTATAGCCTAGGGCAAGAGTACAATAATATTAAAGGGGAAGTTAAGGCAAAAATTAAAATTTCACCAGTTGTAGTCTTCGGGGTGCTGAGTCGAATGGTCTTGGTCCGAGGAAGCTGAGACGCTCCCTTCCTACTTGAATCCCAATCGAACTCGCGTACTTCCACCGAAACTGGGTGACTGCGCCCTACTAGATGGGGATTTGTATGCAAAATGTCACTAAAAGCGCCATTTCGTTCTTATAAAAGCACGGATGACCGCGATTGGCCCATATGTTGTAGTCTTTGGGACGCTGAGTCGACTGGTTTTGGTCCGAAAAGGCTGTGATGCAGCGTTCCTCCTTTATTCCCAATCGAACATGGTTGAAGAAGCGGTCACGTGGTCCTGGGTGCCCAAATCACCTGGTCACCACGCCAGCAGGTGACAACTTTCACACCAAGGTTCAACTCGAGTTCAACTCGAGTGACAGGACTGCACCCAAAAAAGGTCAAACAGGCTAGTAAGTTGTACCCTGCAGGCACGGTGACCAGGTGACTGGTGTACGCAGGAGCACGTGACCGCTTCTTCAACCATGTTCGATTGGGAATAAAGGAGGAACGCCGCATCGCAGCCTTTTCGGACCAAAACCAGTCGACTCAGCGTCCAAAAGACTACAACATATGGGCCAATCGCGGTCATCCGTGCTTTTATAAGAACGAAATGGCGCTTTTAGTGACATTTTGCATACAAATCCCCATCTAGTAGGGCGCAGTCACCCAGTTTCGGTGGAAGTGCGCGAGTTCGATTGGGATTCAAGTAGGAAGGGAGCGTCTCAGCTTCCTTGGACCACGACCATTCGACTCAGCACCCCGAAGACTACAACTGGTGAAATTTTATTTTTTGCCTTAACTTCCCCTTTAATAATAAAAACCTGGTTTATGTACTCTTGCCTAGGGGTATACAATGGTATAGGCCTAGGCTATATACCAGTACAGTGGCGTGTCCAGGATTTGGCTGAGGGGGGGGGGGGGGGGGGGGTTGTGGCTGGGATCAAGACGGGATGGGGTGGGGGTAGATGACATCATGATACTGTCCCAGGTCAGCCATTGTGAAAACCGATCAAGCTCCTCCTCCTGTAGCCCCCTTCTTCAACCGTAGGCTATAATATACCAGTGGCGTGTCCAGGATTTGGCTGAGGGGGGGGGGGGGGGGGTTGCGGCTGGGATCAAGACGGGATGGGGGTAGATGACATCATGATACTGTCCCAGGTCAGCCATTGTGAAAACCGATGTCAAGAAGCTCCTCCTGTAGCCCCCTTCTTCAACAGTTATTCACCCGAACGGCCCCAGAGACTGTTCCGGAGGATCAGCGCACCACACGGGGACAAGTGTCGAACTTGCTTCAAGTTCCCTTTCTTCGTCGGCCTGTGGGACGATCGACCATGATGTTTCGGGGAAGCATTCTCTGGAACGCTCTCCCCTCTGATTTTAGAGTGATACGTGTCCCTGGTCCCTTCCGAAACTGAGCTCTTTCTGCCATTGATATACTTACTTTGTGAATATCCTCGTTAAACTTTTATTATCTGCCATAAATTCCAACCTTCTCATCTATCAATCATTTCGATTTTGTGCATGCATGTCTATAAAATCAACCATGTGTTCCTGACTCCATGAAATTGTCTTTCTATTCTTTGACTCCATGAAATTATTGTCTTTCTATTTCTGACTCCATTAATTGTCTTCATATAAATTTTTCCTTATGTGAGCGAATCAACTGCAATTATTTATGCGAGTCCAACAATTTCTCACCGCTCTCAAAACATCCTTTACATAGGCAGCGCGGTACTTGTCACCATGGTCACTGTGCGCTGTTCTTCATGTTCTGGCTGCTCGCTGACAACAGGTTCTTCCACGTCTGGCGGAGTGTGACTGTCAGTCCGCTCCGAAAGTTCAACTGGAATAACAGCGACTTCATCACTCCCACTGTTTCCTGTTGGAGCGGCAGCAGGAGTTGCGCCGCCACAGGAACGCTTTACAAAAATTCCAGGCTCTGCTGGCTAGAGCTTGGCCTTTTGGGATGTCGCTGAGACATCGAAGAAAAGTCTTCGAGTCAACCAAAACACGATGCGAACGAGGATGATCGCCTGAGCCCTCGGCATTCGAATCGTGTTTTGGTTGACTTGACCGAAGACTTTTCTTCGATGTTTGTACGTAAAGGTTGAAGACGCGTCGAGCGCGCGCCCCATGATCCCAGCAGGGATCACACACTGTACAACAGTAGTCAGTACACAGTCAGGTCACCGTGTTTCTGTAGCCGTGCATGCTCACTGTACGCACTCTGTAGACTGTACACTGTAATATCGAAAAGTATTCTTTCTAGACCAAAGATAGGGATGTCAGCGCGGACACTGCGCAGGGCTTTGCGCATTCAATGATGTAATCGATTTTTCAACGCGGCGATGGCAGACTGAAAGAAAATGGCGATCGCCAAAAACCGGCTCAGTGAGTCGCTATTTGACGACTCCCCGATGCAGCTCGACCTAGATTTTGAAGTTTGGAACATTTTTAGAGAGAAAGAGAGGGAGAGAGAGAGAGAGAAAGAGAGGGCTAGAAAGAAAGATTACTCAAGCTAATGCTTCAGTAGAGTCACTAGAAGTTCTGGGCACACTGATAGGCTAATATCATCTGACGATTTCCACAGCTTGTGCCGCTTGTTGCAGAGCATAAGTGAAAATGCGCCGCCAGAAGATCGGCGATCGTGAAGTCGGCTTTGGGTAGATTTGGCTTTCGCCATCCCGAGGAGCCGCTCCTGTTGCCTGTGAGAACCAAACCACGTCTCCACACGACTACTCGAACAAAACCCTGTCCACACCTGACAATCGATGTCTCTGGAACAACGGCCCATATGCACGGCGATATGTCAGAAATGCAGAAATTCACAAGAACGAACACCGTCACGTGGAGCATGAACGCTTCGGTCAAATTTCCTACAAACTCTCAACATCCAACATCAAGTATTTCTGCCGGGTTTACCATTGAATCCAGAGCTTTTCCCCGGTTAAATCCAGAGATTTTCAACTCGGAGATCGTGGCAACGATCGGCATGGTCGCCATTTTCCGCTCTGAAAGAACCCTGTCGTTTGGAACGAAAACGGCTTCGCGCCTTCCAACGAAAGCTACAAATCGATTCCAGAACACATGGGCGGCCAACATACCAAACAAGATCCCATTCTGGTAAGCAGGTAGCCTGTAACCACCATCTCCTTGCAAGGAAATTTCAGCCATTTCTCCTTCGTTCAAGGTCTCAATTTTCTGCAAAAAATAGCCAGTGTTTGGCAAAAATTCTGCATGCCACTTCTGATGCGCGTTTGGCTGCATGCGCGAACTGCATGCGCAGTGCACGCGCTGAGATCCCTACCAAAGAGTGGTATATTTGGTAACATTTAAAGGGGAAGTATACCCTAAAATCAAATTTTCACCAGTTGTAGTCTTCGGGGTGCTGAGTCGAATGGTCTTGGTCCGAGGAAGCTGAGACGCTCCCTTCCTACTTGAATCCCAATCGAACTCGCGCACTTCCACCGAAACTGGGTGACTGCGCCCTACTAGATGGCCTTGCCTTCTGCCCACACTAAAGCTGGTTTTTCTCGTCTTGGCTACATAGGTTCTGATCGGTGGAATATGCTGCCTTCCACTGTTCGCTCTTGTACAGATTATCGCCCATTTGTTCGTTCATGCTTAACCTTTCTAGGGGCTCCCGTAAGAAGACCATAGGTCTGTGGGAAACACCCTAGTAAAATAAATAAAATAATAATAATAATAATAAGATGGGGATTTGTATATCAAAATGTCACTAAAAGCGCCATTTCGTTCTCATAAAAGCACGGATGACCGCGATTGGCCCATATGTTGCAGTTTTTTGGACGCTGAGTCGACTGGTTTTGGTCCGAAAAGGCTGCGATGCAGCGTTCCTCCTTTATTCCCAATCGAACATGGTTGAACAAGCGGTCACGTGCTCCTGCGTACACCAGTCACCTGGTCACCGTGCCTGCAGGGTACAAGTAATTACTTACTAGCCTGTTTGACCTCTTTTGGGTGCAGTCCTGTCACTCGAGTTGAACCTTGGTGTGAAAGTTGTCGCCTGCTGGCTAGGCCTAGCCCAAATTTGCCGGCAATTCTTCCAGCAAAATATCGAATTTTCCAACGAAAAGAAATTGCTGGCAAATTCCGAGCAAAATATCGAATTTACAGAGGATCCGGGTGTGTTTTGGCAATTTTATTCAAATTTATTTGGTTTCATTGGGCCAACGTCGTGCTGAAATAGCTCGTGCAGGTTCCCCCCCCCCATTGCGTATCTTGGTGCCGACAGGTGGAATGCGCTGCCTCCATCTTGTCGCCTGGCCGAGTCGCCTGCTTTGTTTCGCGCTCACACAAAGTCTCATTTAGGGTTCCCAGTAAAAAGGCAACATTGCCTGTTGGGAAATCCCTAACAAAATAAGAAAAAATAATAATAATAATAATAATAATAGGTTGTCCATGGTTGTCAGTGGTACATAAATTTATTATTTTTATTATTATTATTATCAAATTTTTGATAGGGCAAGCCCCACAGGCCTAAGGCCTTCTTACAGGGTACCCTAGAAATGAAAGTACTGAATTACGGAATAGGTGCAGTGAAGAGCATAAGCGGACTGCAGCGGGGAGTGCATTCCAACGGTCGGAA